TGTTACATCCAGTGATTGGCAACATCAATTATAAAAAAATGCACAAATTGAAAGTTTTTCTTAGTGTTTTGAGAAAGCATTAAGGTGATTTTATCAAATGCATTTGTGACGTTGGATGATGAAGTGAAAGTGTCAATGTCAAACATCTAGAGTCATTTAGCTGTTTACATCTCTAAAACCAACAGACCCCCAAACTGAAGTCCAGAAGATTACTGCAAGTTAAATTTCATAAACAAAAACAATTAATTAATGATTAACAATTAATAAAACATTAGTTTTGATAAGCCTATTATATCATGACCTATACAAATTTCAGAATCAACTTATTTCTGAAATTTCAAACCTTACCTTCTAAAGTAATAAAGATTTCTATTTTTTCTTAAGGATCAGAAAATCCAACCTTAAGGATGTACCATGAACATAAACTATTATATCTTATTAGTAACTTCTTCGTCCTTAGCTTACAAATTTTATATTACAGTTGGCCATTGGTAACCACCAAAGCCCATGAAGGGTCGAGTTCATTAGGTAAAATGGTATGGTATGCGCATGTTGCCTGGGTCCTTCTTCTAAAATACTTTAAATCAGCTCTTGAAACTTGTAAAACACTAAAACATAAATCCTATATGAGTAGTTGTTTAATGTATTATTTAGGGTACAATGACAAGAAGAATGTCCATATACATTAAGTCCATAGTCATAGTTTCTTTCCAAATATTTTCTCTCCACAGTTAGTTGAATCCAAAGATACAAATGTAGAATAAGTCTTATTCTACCAATATCTTTCAGACTCACCACAAATATCTGCATGGAAGTTTTAGAAGATGGATGAGTAGAAAATTAAGAAAGATATTTTTCAGTGCCATAGGAAGAAATAATCTGAGTTTCGACAGAATAAAAAATTCCAAGGTAAGGAAGCAACCTTATAGATCAAAATTAGTATAAACAAGATAACTGAAAGTCAAGGTTCTACAGAAGAGATTTCCATCATGGCAGAATGTTGAGCTAGATGACCAAAAACACTTAGCAACCCTGCAAAGCTCTCTGACTATTTCTGTAACTTCATCCTGGACAGAGCATCCCTCAGTGCTTGGTGCACCTGCTTGTTACGCAGGGTGTAGATGACAGGGTTCAGCAGTGGAGTCAGCACGGTGTTCACCAGAGCAGCCTCTCGGTTGGAGGCTAGTCTGCTTGTTTGCTTTGGCTTAACATAGATGAAGACACAGCTGCCGTACATCAGAGAAAGGACAACTAGGTGAGATGAGCATGTGGAGAAGGCTTTCTTCCGCTCTGTGGATGATGGGAGGTGCATGATTGTCACTGCTATATTTCCATAGCTAATTATGGTTATAAGGAGAGAAATAAACAGGATGAACAAAGCTAGACCAAAAGTCAGCATCTCTGTAGATCTTGGTTCAGAACAAGAGAGATGGATCAGGGATCCAAGATCACAGAAGGAGTGAGGGATGATATTGGGGCCACAGAAGGACAATCGAGAAACCTGTAGCACCAGTCCAGTCATAAGAGTGAAGGACAAAGTGTAGCAGGACAAAACCAGAAAGAAGCAAACCTTCAGGCTCATGATGGCTGGATAGTGGAGAGGCCTGCAAATGGCCAGGTATCTATCCAAGGACATCACAGCCATGAGGAAGAAAATTGTTGACCCAAGAAACAAAAAAGAAAATGCCTGTATGAGACAAGAAGTGAAATGAATTGTTTGCTGTCCTAAAAGAAAAATGGTCAACAGTATAGGAATAACAGTGCTGATGAAACTGCATTCACAAAAGGAGAAAGTGCTCAGGAAGAAGTACATAGGTGTGTGGAGGCGCCGGTCAGCCCAGGTGACTGTGATGATGAGTGAGTTTCCCATTACAGAGGCCAGGTAGGCGAGCAGGTGGAGCAGGAAGAGGACCTTCCCCAGGTGTCGGACCTCAGGGAAGCCCTCCAAGGTAAATTCCTCTACAGTTGATCCATTCCTTAACTCCATTGTTATCTCCATTTCTTTGTGTCATCAACACTCTTTGACCTATGAGAGAACCAAAATATAAATAAGGAGAAAAATAAAGGGTATTTATTAAGAAGTATAGAGACCTTTTTCAAATAAGAAGGGAAAGAAGAGATGGAGGGGGAGAAGAAAAGGAAAGTAAAAGAGATTTGTTTCATTTTTGAACTGCTGTCATCAATGTCAATATTGTCTTCCATTAGGAAATCTCCATCACTGCCAGAATCTTTCTCCTGGAATGGTGCCTCACCCTCTTCCTCTTCTTTAACTACATCTTTCATGACCATCTCTTTCTGTCTGGAAGCTACTTTAGAGGCTGCCTGCCTCTGCTGGCACACATTTTTATAATCATATTTTTCATCTTCCCTGAATGAGAACCAGCCTTCTTGGTCTTCACTTCTTTTTTGTGAGTCCTCGCTGTCTTCCTGTGAATTCTTTTCAGACTGCCTCTTAGTTTAGTTTCAGGGGTGATGATTGGATTTTCTTAGTGGGAGGATCTGAATCTGTTGTATTATCTTCATCTGCATCATCAGACTCCCGAAAACTGAATATTCAATGACCTTCCTATTTCTTTTCTTTCTTTCTTTTTTTGACCTTCCTATTTCTGACAGGCCTAGACATATTCCTGTTGAAACACAACAAAGTCAAGAAGCCAAAGACTGGGAGCCTCACTACCCAACACATTCTGCACCACCCTGCCCATGAACGATGGCCAATGGGGCTGCTGTTGCTGAACCTCGAGATGCTGGTTTCTCCAACTCCCCAACTCTTTGGTCCTATGCCTCTTTATCAGATAAGCTCCCCGACTCCCATCTCTTCCAAAAACAAAAAGATGGTTAACAAGTCTAAACCTGACAGAAAAAAATGCCCAAACCCAGGCTAAAGGTTATAGTGACACCAAGTCCAATGAAAGGCAAAGAAGAGTTTGAAGATCAAGGCCCATCTGGGGAGGATAAAGGTGCTCTTAGTTTGGGGAGGGATATTATTGTTATTAGAAATAAAGAAAGGAAAGAAGGAAGGAAGAAAATAGTGGGAAGGGGAATAGAACCTACTTAAGATAGGACACGATTTGGTTATGGCTCACAGGCTTTCACGGGTTTTTCTCTACTTGTTGAAAATGATTTTTTTCTCTTCCTCTCTCTCCCACTTTTCCCCTCCCTGTTTTTCACTGTTCCTCTCTTTCTCCAGAAAATCATTGAATATGGAAGTGTTGAATTTACCTTTGTATCTGTTGGCATTCTCTTTGCCACCACCCCTGTTCCCCAATGAAAGCCATGTCAGATTAATCACTTAACTGACTGATCCCTATTTGACTTTATACTGAAAGATGCACCATGTGTGTGAAGCAATAAGATCTGAGATGCAAACTGTGGGAATTTCACTTTTGCCTAAAATGACATAGCAAATTCGATAGTAATAAAAAAAGAGAGATTTTAGGTAAAAATAACTGCCTGGGCTTCTAAACAATAAATTGTAATCTAATATGTTTATCTGCTTTTTATCTATCTATCTATCTATCTATCTATCTATCTATCTATGTATCATCTATTTATCTATCTATCTCTATGGATAAATAGCTAAAAGAAATCATGATTCTAAACTCTTGCATCCAGTTAGGAGATAAAGGCATTTTTTGAATTGTTAAAAAAGGGATTTAAAGATAGCTGAAGAAAAGTATGAAAATAAAGCTCTTGAAGATGGAGAAGGAAGAAGAGTTGGCAGGTGCAGAGAAGGAAAAGTAAGGAAGGAGAAAAATTAAGAATTAAGTTGTGTTAGGTACACGTACAATCTCCCCACAATAAGTGTAAGCATTACATTATGCAAAAGTGTACTAAAACACCAAGAGTATCTTAAAAAGTAAACAATGAACTGTCTAAAATCAAAACTAAAGCATTTCCTGAAGTCAGTTTTATGAGAGAAGAACCATGTTCTTCTTTTAAATATTTTGTTATAAATTATTTTGAAATGACTCTCTGTTAGGCTGTAAATATTGAACTTTCTTGGTTCCGCTTTTCTATTCTTGCTTTGCAGGTTTTGAGAATACTATAAAAAGTATAGCAACATTTCTGGAAAGCAGTATTGACTATATTTTACTAATGTACCATAAGATAAGGAAAGTAAAATGAAAATCAGTATTTTTCTGAAGACAAATATATGACTCAAACATATAAATAACTGACAATAATGTACAGTGGAGACTTGCAGCACATCCAGGTGAGAGAAGCAGGTGTAGAAGGCTTCCTGACACTCTTTGACTGATAGGAGGGCCATAACTGTGATCATGATGTTGTAGCCAACAATGGCTATAAGGAAGGAAGTAAACAGAATGAAGAAAGTCGGGGCAAAAGTCAGCATCTCCATAGATCTAGAATCAGACTAGGAGAGATAGATCAGTGAGCCAAGGTCACAGAATGAGGAATGACACCAGGACCACAGAGGGACAACAAAGAAACCTGCAGGCCCAGCCCAATGATAAGCATGAAAGACAAAGTGTGTCATTTTTACACTTCTAATAAGGTATGCACTCCAGGAAGCCCTCCCATGACCTGAGTTCTGCCATCTATAAATAGACAACATAAAAAACTGTGTTCTCATCACCATGGTCCATTCTAGATATTTTCCTGATATCCATTTATTTTGAATTATTTCCGTAGGTCCCTAGAATGAGCAGGAAAAGTCATTTTTGCACAATCTCAAAACTACTTCACCATCAATTTAAGAGAAGCTATGTCTAAAGTCAGGGAAGAATTGTCCCATTACTTCCCTGTCCAGGCTCAGCGAACGCATCATTGAGTGTAGGTGATGGTGGGCACATCATTGAGTGTAGGCAATGATGGGCACATCATTGTTATCAACTTCATTTTTTCAGCTCTGTGGGGCAGAAGAGCTTCCCTCTGCTGCACATTCAACCTTCCTTTCTTTGCAGACATTGTTATTATACTGGAAAATTCTGGTGTGGATGGAATCATACCTGGATGATCCTTGCAATCTGTAGAAGGCTGACTTTTAAGCCATAAGCTGACTTGAAAGTAGATGAATTGATCTTTAATGTAGGGGAAGGGGATCACAGCATCTGCTCTAGTGAATCAGTCATTAAATTAAAATTTGATTTAATCCTTTGATTTGTTCAAACCTGTGTTGCTATGCATAATCCTCAGACTGGCTTAAATAGAAGTGTTTCTCGTTTAAACATGTGACTCACTAAATCACAGATTAATTAGATGTCAAGCACTCACCAATCAGCTGTTCCTAGGCAACAGAGCTTCTCTGTTTGTGTCTTTTTTGCTTCCAACAAACCAGAGTCTTTCTCCTGGACTAAGAAAAAATAAGAAACAAGGGCATTCTTAATTAAAACCGACCTATCTTTGATTTATAAAACAGTCAATGGACGTCTTGTATCTTAAACAAAAAGAAAAACGTTAAGGCTGATTGTTATTAAGGAAGACAGATTTGTAAACTCTAGAGGACTGCGAATCAGTTTCCCTTATCTCAACCTGGCCAATAAATCCACCTAGAACAGAAGACAATACAAAACACTGCACACTTGCCCTAGCATTTACGCTGTAATTATGTAGAAATCCTGAACATATTCCTGTTCATTCATTCCATGGGACATGATGACATAGTTAATCATGAATATCAAACTTAAGGGCTGGGGAGATGACTCAGAGGAATAAGCGCTTCCCTGGCAAGCTCAGGGGCTTGAGTTCAATTCCCGGTTCTGCCAAAAAAAAATAAATAAATTCTTTAAAAAATTATCAAACTTAGCTGCTTGTGTACCCATCCCAAAAAAGACTCAGGAAAGGAAGAAAACAGAGGTCAGATTTCCTTGTTTGCAGAGGCTATTAGTCACATTTCTGCCATCTAGTTGTATGTGGCCCACCTTTGTGCCTATCTGGGGTTTCTGAAATCATAAATGAAACTGCATCTGAATCTCTTTGCTCTGTATCACTGTGGGACTGCTTTCCATCTCTGGTGCAGTCAGGCTGGTCCACACGGACACAGTCCTGGCCTTTAGGCTTTATAGAGGAGAGGGAGGGAAGTGAGCTGAAATGAAGTGTGTAGCAGATTCTCAAGGGCCATTGCACATTTAATTGTTGGAAATGGAATATGTCAGAAGAAATGTAAGTGCCAACTCACTGTGCATGAAAATGTCCTCTCTCAGTCTCTGTTATCGGCAAGGTCTTGTGTGTAAGTCTATACTGGCAGATTTGGCATGACTGCCCAAAGTCATAAAATGAATACAACCCCAAAGTATCCATGTCAAGAAACTCACCCCAAACAACAGAAACACTTTTTTTTTTCTTTTTTTTTTTTTTTTTTTTTTTTAGTGGAACCAGGGATTGAACTCATGTCCTTGCGCTTGCCAGGGAAGCACTTACTCCACTGAACCATCACCCCGGCCCTCAGAAACACTTTTTAAAATATAATTAAATGTATGGTTTTTGTTTTTCACCATTTTCTTTATTGAATTATAATATACATACTGTAAACTGCATAAGTTATACAGTGCAAGTTGATGCATTTTACACAAATAAACAGCCATGTAACTGCTGCTCAAATAAAACAATAAAATATCCTTATTTCACCATCAATTTCCTGTGCCCTTCTTTTGCTGAGCTCCACAAGTTTCGGTAGTTGTGTTTCCATTTTCACTTGCCTCAAGCTATGTCTTCATTTTCCTTTTTGTTTATTCGTTCATACATTTCTTGTTCAAGAAACCATTGATTAATTTGCATTCTTATTCAATTATTTCTAGGCTCACACAATTGTAATCAGAACATAGAGTTGATATGTATCAATATTCCTAAATTTATAAGACCTAGTGATATAACATGGAGAATTTTTGTGTGCATACCTATGAAGATTTTGATACTATCGTGTGAAGAGCTTTGTATATGTTGTTAGATCTCTGGTCCATCATGCAGATCAAGGCCAATGTTTCCTTATTATTTTCACATTCATTTATTTGTGTATTTAGGTACCAGGAATTGAGCACAGGACTTTGTGCTTACCATAAAGGTGTTATATTGCTGAGCTCTATCTCCAGCCCCAATATTTCCTTATTGGTTTTCTGTGTAAATAATATGTCCACTGTTGAAAATGTGGGATTGAGGCTACTTGCCACTATTTTTTAAATTTTATTTTATTTTAAAGAGTAAAAACAAAAACAAAATCAAGAACAAACAGCAAAACAGAGATAGAAACAGTGACCTATAACTATACATATAGTAGAGAATTTCAAAACAAGAATAAAAAATTAACAATGATTGTCATATTGCATATT